ATATAATATACAATAATTGAAATGTGACTGTATTTTACAAAATACTAGTCTACTAACACTCAGCCAAAACAAGTTACTTTCTACAGACCAAAGGTCAGTTTTATGTTATTTGATAATGGTAGCATGAGTGCACATGATCTGCATCATTGTAACTTCTGTATTGTTAACCAGGCATGACTGAAAGGTCAATATAAGAAAAATAATAAATATATATATAAATGTATGATATTATGAGATTTAAGCTATTTAGTCTAAACATTTATGTTTTTGTGTTATACTCTGTGTTCATTCTAGAATGGAAGAGGCAAAATTTATATTTATTTCCTAATTGTTTTTGGTGGTTGTGAGATTAGTCAAATCTACCAAACCCGTACATAGATTAATTACTGAAAATAACAGATAAAATATAAAGTGTTTTCAATATAACATTTGATAAATATCTGGACATTATAAAGATTTCACATGTGAAATTTGAAAATTTTCTGATGCATAAAAGTATTTTTAAACTTAAAATGAAAATTACTTTGCATGATAGACAGGCAACATGTGAAAAGAAAAAAAAAGGCATGAGAAAAGCATTGCTCTACAAACCTTAAGACTTAATATAAAAATTTGATATTTTGCGCTTGAAAGCATTGTGATGTTTACTGATAATATTCCAAATTTTGTGAACATATACTTACTAAATTACAAGTTATAGCATGAAGACTATAACAAGCACAAAATGGTTACAAGGTCGGTCCAAGGGACTGAGCCTGTGCTGAAAGAGTTAAACAAAGCTCCCACTTCTGCATGTTTCAACATGTATTGTGCCAGACTATGATGTAATAATGATTAGACTATAACTCTCCACCAATAGGAGGGCAACATATCCTATGTGTGCAGTAATCCTCATTTTCTTTTAATTGACCTTGTATTTTTGGAACACACATCCCTTTGTCTGTTCCCATTGTTTAATCCAACATACAGGTTTTGTTCAGTACTCTTCAAGATCATCATTAGACCTGTGCACCACCACCATACATGGCTCATGTTTTTTTCTAATTGAAAACCAAACAACAAAAGATTCTATCTTCTATATATTTAACAGGAATACAAGAACAGACAACCACACCACCAGTGTCATGGATTAATTGGATTATGCATTCACATTCCCATGTTTTTACATTTCTTAATGTTTTAAACAATCCTTCACAGAATTCATTTGATATTGTAGTGGTAACTGAAGACACTGACATTGTGCATCACTTGGTTGGTTCCATTCTGATATTGGATCCAGGATTCCCAAACTCCTGCTTCTTTTACTTCAGCTGAGCCTGTCCCATCTTGAGAGTGTTTCACCACTGTTGTTTCCATGTCTGCTTTTGCTTCTCATTCCCTCTTTCTATTCTATTCTCTTTCTATTCCCATTTTTGTCTTTCACTGTTTGGATTTCAAAGGTATGTGTGATTTGTTTTCTCTTTCTCTAATAATTTTTTGCTGAATCTTGGGCTCCATTGTTGCATGATCCTTTTTCATCTGATTCTTTTCTTTCAGTTTAGGGATCTACTTGTTTTCCTTCCTTTTTCTTTTTCTCCATCTGACCGTCTTTATCTGTTACTTAACTTTGGTCATTTTCCTGCTTCATCTTCATTTGGAAGCTTTTCATCATGACCCTTTCAACTTTACTGGGGCAACTTGCCCATACATGTTTTTCATCTTGTCTTCAATTTTCTTCCATTTTGTCCCAGTTACCTTGATTTCATTGTTTCTGGAGTATCCTTTATCAGATTTCCTTATTTTCTGACTTTTATTTACATTAATCTCCTCTCCAGGATCTCTGTCTACACCTTTTCTTGGTGACATATTTTTTGGGGGTATTTCTTATGTATTGGCATCTTGAGCTGATGTAGCTCTTCAACAATCATATCTCTGTCACTTTGGTTTATTGCTCTTTGGACGAAGGGACTCCAACCAGGTTTATCATCGATGCCCTCTCT